ATATTTATTCTGATATGGATGCCATAGGTACTTCTATTTGCTGTTGAAATATAAATGTTATGAAAAAAATAATTTTCTATTATATTAATCAAATTACTTAAAATAGTAACCCAATTAATAATACAAATCTACTTTTATTTAAATACTATTTTTATAAACTTTTGTACTTGCATATATTGTTTAGTATTATGTATAACTTTTCTGTTATATTAGCTACACTAGCTACACTAGCTACACTCTTGTATTACCCAAATTAATTTGGGTTATATAAGGTTATACAAGGTTATACAAGCCACACTAGCCACAGTAGATATACAAAAAACCTCTGCAGTATCTACTTCTGTCTAATCCTATTTAATACACTATTCAAAGCTCTTTGAAGCACTATATTGCAAAATTTTACTAAGACAATCAGACTAGTATGCTAAAGAGAAAAAATACATTAATATGCTTACTTTAATTACTCAAGATTCTAATATACTCAACCTTAATATCTTCTACACAAATTATGCAAATATTTTTAGAGTTGCTATTTATAAAGATGAACCAAACAATATTAGAACAATCTTTCCCCAATTTAGGCTATCAAGCTGTATTACAGTAAGCACTAGACAAGTTAAAAAACTTATTTCTTCAAAGCACCATACTTAACTACAATAGTCAAGTACCTTTGTAGCAATTTTCACATATAATTTCACTCTCTTAATAGCATTATTCATATATCTATATTTCTAGCTTCTGTTATTAGCAAGAAAAACAAGAGACACAATACAAAACAAATGAATAAAGCTATCGCTTCAATATTAACAACTATTTCAACCTCTCCTGTTTCTAAAACCCATATCTACATATACCCAAATACTGAACTGTGATTAACTGTAAATCTATTAACAACTACTACTAACTTCAAGAAGGCTGCTTCTTCTTTAGCAATGAAATATACTATCTGAAATATTTTCAACAAATAAACAAAGAAAAAAAAGAAAAAACAAAAGCAGAAGAATAATGATTACATCAAAAGCAATCTAACAATCAATAATAACAACAATCTAAATAGCATTAACAACAACAAACTATAGAAATAAAAACAGATAAACATATAAAAGATCAAACTACAACCAACTTATTTAAAAATATACCAGGAACGTAGTAATAAAATTATGAAGTGTATGGTTATCAAACAACTAGAATAGCAAATATGCAAATCTGGTATTTTGATTGGCCAGTGATCACAGATATAAATCGTGAATGAATTTGAATAACAGATAAGGAAATTAGTACGTAGGTATATGTTAAGAATAAATATAGGTTTGTAAAGAAATATTTAAGTATTTAATTTAGAACGAAAGAAATAGTAAACTACTATACAATCTTATATTCGAATATTTTTCTCTATTAGTGGCAGTAGTCATACTTTTATCAGCGTGAGTAGCACAATTGAATTCTTTGGTCTCACAAATACCAATGATGCCAAAGGATCTATATTATCATCCTCTTTTGTAATATAATCAAAGAGTCAAACCAGAAAATTATCTGAGCTTGTCATTTTTGGATCCAAGTCAGAAGATTTATCTGGCTTTATAGACTCAAAAGAGTTGCTTTTGGGCAATTGTTTTTAGATGAATTAAAACTTGTAGATAATGAAGTATTTTTTTTAGATTTCTGTAGATGTTCGATACAATAATTAATCATGCATAGTTTTTGAACAAGGTTGAACTGTATATCAATTCCAACAGTGGTATTGTCATTTTTTTTATTTAATGATAAACTATTTTTATTTTTGATAGTTGACGCATCTTTGTCACAATTAAAAAGTGATGAATTTGAATTATCAGACCAGTTATATATGTTAATAGTGGGTATAGGTTCTTTTCTTTCTTTCCCAATGCTATCTAATATGATTAAGTACTTTGTTCCAGACTATTTTCAATGATCCTAAAAGCAAATAGCTTCTGAAATTGAATGTTCTGGAGACATGTCTCTAATAAATATTCAAGGAGATTCCACATGAAAGATTTGTATAGCACAATCCTTACGTGATTAAAATGAAGGCCTAATGTTGATGCAGAAATAGAGTAATACTGCTTAAAGTATTGATTCCTTCAGAATTATAATATAGTGCTGATCTTTTCTTTTGTGATATATTAAATAGTTTCTGCAATATATTATCAATATCTGTATTATCCATATCAACAATTATACCAGTAGTATCGAACATATCTAGCTGTATCAACTGATTATAATCATTGAAGCTATCTAGTAAATCACGATTAGATATACTTCTTAGTTCTCTGTTACAATTACTACTGTTTGAAATTTCTAAAAGTTTATTGCCACTGTTAGTTGTCTAAGAAGAAATTATATTATCTATAAAGCTAGACAACAAGCTATATAAATTATTGTCGTGGCTGATGCTAAAATTGGCTAATGCTAAAATATACTCTTTAATGATCAATTCTATCTCTAAATCCTAACTCAACCCTAAAAAAAAGATGAGAAAACCCATTCCAAAAAATTTTTAAAAATTTATAATAAAATAGATCTGAATTTCAACATCAGCCAATTTTAGCATCAGTCACGAAAATTATTTTTTTCATAACATTTATATTTCAACAGCAAATAGAAGTACCTATGGCATCCATATCAGAATAAATAT